AGCCTCCGGCCGTGCCTGTGCAGCCTGGCCCTGATGTGGCACCTTGTCCCCAGGCAGCTCTTCTGAGTGTGCGTCTCCTCAGGGTCACCAAACTGACCTGAGAGTTCCCCGTGCAATTGCAGCTGTAGAACGTGGATTAATGTATCCGTCCTGAACTGGTGGTATTGAGGGTGTAGAAATACAAGTTTCCTTTTGAAACTAGATACATAGAGAACACATAGTTACCTTGATTTAATTAGAGTCAGACTTAGATGCCAACACTGCTGTCAGTTTACTGAAGTGATTAAAAGCGCTATTTGTTGGGAGAAACATTGTATAACTTGGCAAGAGCATAACACAGAATGTGTTTTAGCCATGGAGGCTCCCTATGATGGCGCTGAGGTCACGGTGGTGATGGAGGAGATAGAGAGCACTTACACTTACACCTCTCCGGTGCCATCCAAGAAGAAGAAGAAACATAAAAGTACTGGTGATCATGGAGAAAAAGCCAAGAAACCTCGGTAAGTTCTTTCTGCCTTCATTTGATTCCTTTGTAGGGTATGGGAGCAGTTTTCCCTGTTTCTGACATGAGTGGATTTGGAGCACTTCATAGTGTAAAGCATTGTATATGAAATATCAGCCTGGTACTTTGGGCCTGCTCAGACATTCTTTACAGGTGCTGCTGTTGTTCAGTTTAGAGTTTGTTTACCCCACCATAATTTGCCTTAGGCTGGCCCTTAGAGGTTCTCTTTTTCTTTTGAGGTTCCCCTCAGAGAGTTTTCATTTGGTTAAAAAATGCATTAAATGTAACTTGCTTGTCACATGACCTTGAGACAAACCTAAACCTTGTGGATTTATTTTTCCCCAAGGAATTTATATAGAATGACCTTAATATTTTAATTTCTGGTTGTGTTTCAGATCTGCTTACCTTCTCTACTATTATGATATTTACTTGAAAGTACAACAAGAGCTTCCACACCTCCCTCAATCTGAAATCAACAAAAAGATCAGTGAGAGCTGGAGGTTGCTCAGTGTGGCTGAAAGGAGCTACTACTTGGAAAAGGCCAAGCTAGAGAAAGAGGGACTGGACCCGGTGAGTTCTTCCTGGAAGTTCTTTGGCTGCTGAGGAGAGAGGCAGTTCCCTGCTTACATAGCCCTGTGTGGGAGAGTTGTTTAACTGCAAATTCCAGTTTGTATCCTTGCCCAGGGCAGTCTTTAGAGAAGTGGTGTGAGGCCACTGCCTTTTGCCTTTGCCTTGTGTTGAGTTGAGGGAGGATGGTTTGTAATCCAGGATGGATATGCCTGGTACCTGCTCATGGCTGATATTTTTGTGTCCTTTCATCAGAGTGAGTGTTGGTAAGGTAGGTGATAAAACCAGAACTGAGCAGGATTCTGCAGGCTCTGTCATGTGGAAAAATTCCCAGCAAACTACAGGAGACCATTTGAACCTTAGGCACTAAAATAGCAGGATTGAGAACTGAATCTCTTCCTTTTTTCATTTTAATTTATTCCATGCTCTGGTTTTGCCCACAGAACTCCAAGGCATCCACTCGAACTGCAGTGGTCCCTGACATTCCAGGCTTCCGCAAGATTCTTCCCCGCTCCGATTATATCATTATTCCCAAAAGCAGTCTTCAGGAGGACAGGAGCAGGCAGTCTCTGGAGCTGTGTGTGACACAGAGCCCAGCAGCATCTGAAGGCTTGGCAGCTCCTAGGAATGTCACCAGAGTGCCCCGTGACACCGTGCAGAGCATCCTTTCCGTGGACTCGGGCCGGGCCAGCATCTCAGAGCAGTGCATCGCCATCGAGGGGCTGGCAGAGGACACGGCAGCCTTTGCCCAGCCCGAGGCTGCAGAAGAAGCTGTTACCTCAGAAGTTCTCTCTCACTATGTTGGGCCTGTGACAGAGAAAGTGGCTGGAGAGATCCTCTTGGATGAGGCTTCTTTGGAAATAGAAGGGCAGCCGTACCAGGCAGCGCGAGTGGTTATTGAGGAGACCCTGGTGAGCAGCTCCACTGACATCTCCAACGGGGGCATCACTGTGGCCCGGCCCCAGGTGCCCGATGGGGTGTCCGTGGTGACCGTGGTCACTGGGAGGGTAAGTTTGTCCAGTGACACTCAGGCTCCTGCCAGTTCTCACCTGGAACATCTGAGTGCTGTTTCCCCCATTGTACTTGAGATCCTGTGATTGCCCAACTTGCTGATTCTCAATGCTGAGAGAAACAAAAACTCTTTTTTTTAATGAATGATATAAAAGTAACTCCTTGACTGAGTTGTCTCTGCTTGCAGATTGACTCAGCCCTGTGGTGATATCAATTGTCTTAACATGACTGAGTTCTTTTAATTGTTTGTTATAACAATATTTGAGGTATTGCAGTGCCAGTAATTGGGTTCTGCAGTTGCACTGCAAGATTTTGGCAAGAGAAAATGCTACTGCTGTGCTCCTGATAGCTGTTTTCCTGATTGTAGAGAAGTAGAAGGGAGTCCTTTTAAGCTGGAGTTTTAGGGATCATAGAAACCTTAGTCTGTGAAGAGTTGGATTTTCTGTTTTGTTTGAGGAGTTTGGTAATTTCCAGAGTAATCTGGTAAGGCTGTTGCTTTGGAAATGATTGCTCCTCTATCCTGTTTTCTGTTCTCAGCACTCCTTAAGACACATTAATGTTCATGAGAGGGAGGAATATGGGTCACCATGTCTTCTTTTCTGCATGCATTTTCCCTTTGATTTCATTTTAGGATACTGAAGAGAGTAGCTCATCCACACCTGCGACACAGTTTATCATGTTACCTTTGCCAGCTCACTCTGTTGTGGAGAACCCAGCGTCAATTAAATTGGTAAGAAATTCAGTGTTTTGTATGGCAGTTAAAGTTTGGATGTATTATCATAGATTTGTCTTAAAGATATTAGAGGGAAGGATTTGCTCATGGTTCAGTTTTTAAAGATAATCCAATTTGGAGTTGCTGTATCACTCGATGTATTTCTTGTCCCTTGTGTTATGTCTTGCATAGGCTAAGAGGGTCTCTGACTTCTACAGTGTCTTACAGGGCCCATTTCTTCTGCCTTCTTCCTCAGGGAATTCTTGGAAACAGGTGGAGTAGATAAAGCTATCACAACACATCTGGCCAACAGCAGTTCCTGTGTAGCCATCCACGAGTTGGATGCATATTTCTCTTTATAAAAAGCAGTGTCCATCCCTTTGAGGATGGACAAGAGCATGTCTGCTCTTATGGCAGGAAAACATGAACTCCAAAGCTCTTGCTTTGGCAGGAGGGGAGCAATGATGTGAGGTTTTGAGAAACCATATTAAAGGCTGTGTGGCCTGTTGCATGAGGAAGAATAGTATTATTTCACTGATCTAACCACTCTAGCCACCTGTGTTTTTGTAGCCATTTTGGGAGTTCGTTGTACAGTCAGTACTGCAGCTCCTTCTGTTATGTAAGCTAGCATCAAATCCTTTTTTCCAGGTTCTCTATGCTTCCAGCTGGTGGAACACTGCAGATATTTATAGTGGTGCATAGTGTGATGCTCTTCCAGTTGTCCTGGGGAGAATGGAAATACCTCAGGTTTTTATGCCTGAGAAGGATCTGGTTAAAATTGACTCATTTCCTTGACAGCAGCACTTGCAGTTCTAGAAAAAAATCTGTACCTAGTTAGGGAGTTACAGTACAACAGCTCTCTTGGGAGTGTTGGGAACAGGATATTGGGAAGTGCTGTGCTGACAAAAACTCAAGTGTGTTGCTGCAGTTGTCCTGGCACAGATGACATGTCCTACTTTAGTTGTCTGTATAAATAGTGCCTGGTGATGCTGCTCGTGTTTCAGTAATTCATAGCAAGTTACAGTGAAGGACCAGGGAACACTTGACCATCCCATACAGCAACAAATTACAGACAAAACTGCCTTTGCATCATGAGTGCTTCTCTTCAAGTCTTTTTGCTGTGTTGTCATGAGTGTTAATCACATTTTGTCTTACTGTGGATTGCTGTTAAAATCATTTTAATGCCATCTTACTATGACTTTTTCATGTTCAAAAAGAACTTTCACATCACTGTAAATGCAAGATTAGTTTCTCCAGGAGGTTATGTGCATTGTTCATCCCTGCTGTACAGGTTGATGTAAATTCTGGTAATACCAGAGGCTATTGTGTAGACTGAGCATTTAGACTAGCAGTAGTTGTGGTGCTGACTCACCTGGTGCTGACCCAGCTGTGTGGTGTTTGTTCAGTAAAATGAATAATAGTGGAAGGCTGGTGATTTGCCAAATAGCATTTGTAAGGTGCTTATGAGGAAAAAGAAGTGATCAGCACAGCTTTGTGGTTTCCAGGTCTGTAGACAAATTCTTGACAATTCTTGTTTCAGACAACCACCTATACTCGCAGGGGACATGGAAATTGCACCAATCCTGGCTGTTCCTTCACTTATGTCACCAGGCATAAGCCACCAAAATGCCCAACGTGTGGGAACTTCCTGGGAGGGAAGTGGATTCCAAAGGTAAATTTGTCTGTCTTTTCCTGACTTTGAGACGAAAAGTGCTGGTTTTGAGAATGCCTGTGATACTTCTAGACCTGTAGATGTAGCACAGGAGGTCAGATACACCAGAAATGATCCCTGCACTCGTGTTCCAGTGCGTGTGCTGGAGCAAGTCACTGTTGCAGGGACACTTGGCCAAGGTGAGACCTGAAATCACCACAGCTTGAGTGAAGATGCTGCTCGTATCTGTTAGAATAGATGGGGCTGCATTTGCTAAAATATCTCTCTCTGAGAGGATACACATGCTTCTGGCCCTCTGTCTGCACAGCTCCTGTGACTGGAAGGCATTGCCTTTCCTCCTGCTACAGCCCCAACTAAGCTTGGGAAGTTGTTTTGTGGTAATTAATATCAACAGTTGAAGTTTTTCCACAAATTTAGTTTTCTGTGGTCTTTCAACGTTGTTTTTTTAACAGAGAGGAGGAATAACTCTTAACTAGAGGAGGTGTATGATCCTTTAGGAGCTTGTTAATAAAGTTGATCTAGTGGAAGCTGAAGTGCTGTTGGGTATTGTTGTCTCATGGCCATGTGTCTGATCATGATATTCTGACCTCTGACTGGAAGGAAGTTTCCAGGTGTTGGTAGAGTTGTGAAGCTTGTCTGAATGGAAAAGTCCTTCTCCACATGATGCTTAAGTTATTGGCATCTCTACTAGCTGTGTACAGAAAAACCCACTTGATCCTTAAACCTTGGCACTATCCTGGTAATTACTCAGCTCTGAACAGATGTGCATTTCTGTCTGAAGCCAGACTCCTCAGGCACAATTTAAAGGATGTTCTCAGTGTGAAGATTGGCATTGACGTTCAGTGGCTTTGTGTGGATTTGTTCTGAACCTCCTTTGTTTTGTGTCTGGATCCATTAAAATTCAGGGATGAGAACTCTTTTGGGCAGCCTGCAGACTCTGTGGTGTCTGAGCTGAAGGCTGAGCTTCCTGTGTGGTAGGATACAAATAGTGATGGTGACATCTTCACTTTTGTTTGGTAAACTTGCTGAGGTAGAGAGATGGCTGAATGCAAAGAGTATTTCTGGATTCTGCCTGAGCAGGGCATGTGTGGTGCTGTTCAAGCCTACCCTGGTTATAACTGAAAGTTTTAGAGGGAGCTTTCCTTTTTGTCTTTGAGACTTTGGTCTGCTGGATTCCATTTCTGATATATTTTTCCATATTCCAGTTCAGTTCTTGTTGATTCCAGTGCAATGATTTTTGTAGCCTTGGTCTTGGAACTAACATTTTTCCTAAAATCAGAAAATCTTCCTAACTAATCCTGTTTTCTGGTTGGCTCACATGCTTGCTTTTCTGAAAGCCTGTATCTAAAAGATGCAAATTCTCTGTCTTAACTCCCTTTGATTGCTCAATAATGTGGAAGAACAGACAGTATCAGAGAGCTGAAGCCATGAAAGGGGAGCGTGGGAGGTGGGCCCTTGCTACAGAGGGTGGTGGGTGACTTTGTGCTGTTGATGCTAATGGTGATATTTAAGGATGTTTAAGAAAGATTGATTCTTCAAAGTAAACAGCATCTAAAAATAATACATGAAGGGCCAAGAGGGCAAATACAATGTTAGCAGGGCCTTTGCTGTTGTAGGAGATGCTGTCTGTCTATTCCCATACAATTCACTGCTTAAACACGTCGAATTCTGGTGTTTTGATGCAACATTAAATAGGCCACGGGAAACATGGCATATGTGCAGGGGACTTGCTTATCTGTGAAAGCTAAAAGCTCTGAAATGTGACTCTCTCCTTGTTTCCAGGAAAAGCAACCAAAAAGCAAATCTGAGCCAAATTCAGGCACCTCTCTCAAAACTCCAGCAGCTAAAAGAGGTCAGCAGTCAGCCCACACAGAACCCACGGCCGCCAGCGAGAGCTCTTCCAAGTCTGCCTTGGAGAGCTCTGAAGCTGTCAGCCAGCTGCTGAGTGCTGTGCCTGGTGAAGGGCAGATGCCTGAGATGGAGTGGGAGGAGGTGATCATCTCTGAGGAACACTTTCTCCCAAATAATGTGCTTGCTGAAGACAGGAGGAGTGCCCAGCAGCAAGTGGATCCCTCCTCAGAGCAGGCAGAGAAAGGAAGTGTAGGGCTGGGAATGCCCACATCTTCTGAGGTGTTGAGTCCAAATGCCTCTGTGAAAAAGCCAGTGGTGGGGTGAGTCACTTTTCCATGTGTTATGGGAGCATATGATGTCTATTGTGTGCTCATGGGACTAGTCCAAGAAGTTGAGGGCTGTTGGCAGTGCTTCCTGTAAAACTTACTGTGTTTGCTGTCTGTTTTGTGCCAGTTCAGGATTGTTCCTTTGAGTCTTTGTCCATCAGAACTAATATTTTTCTTTAAGTGAGAGATTGTAGTTACAGGGCAGATGCAGCCTTAGCACTGTCTCTCTTTCTATTGCAATAGCTGTGGTTAGTGTGCTAACAAAGCACAATTCAGGGAAAAGTGGAAAACTGAAGCTGAGGGGAAATAGATGGAATATTTTTCCACTTGTAGCTCTTATTTTTCAGAACTGATGCAACAGCTGCTGCACACAAGGGACAAGAAGCAAAGAGCAAACCAAGACCCAAGCCCTCCTTGCTGGCTGCAGCCAGACCCATGCGAGCCATTCTGCCTGCTCCATTCATCGTGGGGAGAGAAGCCAGCACAGAGCAGCTGAGCAGCAGGCAGGCTTTTGCAAGTGCTGGTAAAAGCAGCATCTCTGTGTGCTTTGGGAGCTGTTGTCTTTCCTCACCTTGCTGAAGTGGTGTCTGCCAATAATAAGATAGGTTTCAGGGGAGGTGGTTACTAATGCTAGGAAAAAACCAGTTTGTCTCTGCCTGAGTGGAGTAAATGGGCCATGAAACACCTGCTTGGGTTATTTCAAGCTCAGAGGAAAGGTCTGACATGACTATAGTGGCACTTAACAAAGATGTCAGAAAGAAACAGAACCTGTTTTCTCTCATTTAACCTGATGCATCTCTTTCCTCCTTCTAGACAAGCATTCTCCTGTGAGAACATCAGGCTTGAAACCCAGTACACTGAAACAGTTGGGCCAGTCAGTTCTGCAGCCACCAACTGCTGAGGAGCAAAAGGTTGTTCTTCAAATGCAAACTATTTTCCTGGATTTTTCTGGGGGAGGGTTTTGTTTGTGGTTTTTGTTTGGTTTTTTTTTTTTCCTTTTTTCTCCCAGGTGAGTGATATCACCTGAGTGAGAAATAGAACAAAAAATGTATCTGCCTTATGATGATGAGATGTGTGAGTGGCTGTTTTTATGATAAGGCTGGATAGCAGAATGACTGCTTGGTGGCTGAGTGTGGGAACTGAGCTGAGAGATGCTGTTGGACAATCCTGCTGTTGGTTACTTTGGGAACCTCCCAGCTACTTCCAGAAGATGCTTTAAGGATCTGCTGGTGCTTTGATAATCTGACATGCAAATATTGAATATTGAGCTTTTCACCTGTAAAATATGACTCAGTATGCCAAGGTGCTGAAATGAATCTGTGAAATGTAATGCCTTTGCATGCAAAATAATGTCTTATGGTATTTGGGATATTAAATGGACATTAATCGATCTCTTGGGGGCAGTAATGCTAATAGATATTGATATTGGTGCATGTATTTAGTGATAGGTGTCTGATGTGTGTTGTTTTTTCTGCTTTCAATCTCTAGCTCCACAGTTCTATGACAAGCAGGGCATCTCAGGTTAAAGTTGTGGAGGTCAAACCAGACCTGTTCCCTTCCTACAAGTACAGTTGCACCGTAACTTTGGTAAGAATTTTTCAAATAGTGTGAAAAACTATTTCACTTCTGCCACAGGGAGTGTCCTCTCTGGGGTGAGAATGATATGGGACTTCTGTTTTACTGACTGACACAAATATATCTTGTTTTTAACATGAAATAGTCTGTGCTTTGTCATCTCTAGACCTAGTCCAGGATGGCTGTGTGGGGCCTTGTTAAGAGATGAATTTAACTCATGTCCCCATGCAGAATCCTCGTGCCCTCCTTGAGTTCAGCAGGGAGGATCAGGGGTTTCTGAATGAATTTAATGTGCTTCTGGTCTGGAGAACTGGCCCCAGAATGTTTAAGTGCTACTTACAGGGCCCTGTGCAAAGTGACAGGGCTTGCTATTGATGTTTAAACAAGATGTTAGGAAGTGGAGATAAAACATATAATAATCTTTTTTAGAATCTTGTTGGCTTAGAATCATAGAGCCATTCAAATAAAAGACCATTAAGATCATGAAACCCAACTATTAAAAGTCAAGATCAGCAAACATCTCCTTTGTGTCATTCAGGATTTGGGATTGGCAACCTCACGTGGCAGAGGGAAGTGTAAGAACCCTTCCTGCAGTTATGTCTATACAAACAGGCACAAGCCACGCATCTGCCCAAGCTGTGGATACAACCTTGCCAAAGACAGGACTGAGAAAACAGCAAAATCCCTGGTAAGGTTCAAGCTGGCTTGTTTTATCACATGTCTGTTGTGAGCTGGGCAGACAAGTTTGGTTTGCAAGTCCCTATGCAAGCATGGTTTGGGCTTTGCTTTTTTTTTTTCTCTCTTTTCATTATGATAAACTTTGACAGAATGGTTCCTATTTAAAATATCTGTGATGATGTTTGTTGAATTCCTGTAGCAGTGGTGCTTCAGGCTGAGAGAATATGAGCACACCCAATTCTACCACTGGGTGTCTCCTCAACTTAAAAATCCTTCTGTTGTGTCAGTACATGCTGGGAAAATCGAACCTGAAGTCACCACATTGCTGTGTCAGCTTTGTTGAACTTCAGACTTCATCAAGAAACTCCCAAGTATGCTCTGCTTTGTGAGCAGTTTGGGGCTGGTGTCAGTTAAGTTGGTACATCTTGTATTAGATCTTCCTGTTTTTAAGACAGGGTTTGTAGACAATTTTACTTCCAACCTGAATTTATTTCTGGATGTAGGGTTTTTTTTCTGATGTATAAATATGTTTTCAGTTGTCTGCTATTCTCTGTGGATGTAATTAATTCTGGAGGGTTTTTGTGCCTTTGCAGCCTCAGAGGTTAGCTTTTCTTATACTGAATTGTCATGTTTTTAAAACAATAAATGAAAAAATGAAAAAAAGGAGCTTTCCTGCTCTTAGCTGAAATACCTACTCAGCAAATAGGCAGAATTTTAGTCTGTGGAGTAATGACTCATCCACTTGCCTTTTTTTTATTTTGAAGAACATAACTTTGTTTAGTGGTCTTGTTTTTGCTTTAAAGATGCAAACAAACAGACATGGCCTGTGTGAAACTCACACAAACAGCTGTGTAAGGAACAGCAGTGTGCTTAGCTCAGCTTCCATTCTGAGAGGCATGTGGCTTGTCTCTTCCTCATTTAGATTTTCTTGTTTTCTGGTTGTAGATCTGTTTAACATTCCTGTCACACAGCTAATTGTTGTCTCTGGGCTTTTGACTGATCATTTATCTCATTGCTGGACTAGTCAGAAAACCAGGTGGAAGTGTTGAAACAAGAGTTTCAGGGATTAAACAAATGAACTTGTTTGGGTTCTCTTTGTTCTCCTGGCACAAAGTGGAGTTTGGTTCTCCTGTCTTCGTGCATTTTGTTGTGGTAGTATGTGTTGGAGAAGTGTAGACTGTAAACTGATCAATTGTTACTGATTAGTGTGTTCTGTGTATCACAGCCCCCAGTTCTCTGTTAGTTGGTTCCTCCAGCTTCTGGAGAGCTGTGCAGCCTGCCCTGAGCCTGTGGAGAAAGACAGTGATAACAGGGCTTCGAGTGATGAGGGTTATTGAGGTGTTTGTATGCCTGTTGGTGGTTATCCTCACCTTCTGGATCCCCAACCCCTGCACTTAACAGTTTATTGGCCAATCTGCGATGGTTTGGCACTGCAGGAGTTGGCTGTAATAAACTATTCTTGTTGAAGTAATTTGAGCTTGAAGTGGCGTCAATGATTCAGCAGTAGTGTAGAAGTCAGGTTTACTGAGAGCAAAGGCTGCTGTGTTTCTGCTGCCTTTTATGACCTCTTTGGGCTTACTATTTCATCGTCATGCTTGCCTGTTGGGCTGTGTTGCTCCCCAGGAGGTGAGTGCAGGCCGGCCGGGCGTGCTGAACACCAGCGAGCCCCTGACGGCGGCGCAGAAGGAGACACAGCGTCAGTCCACGCTGCAGCTGCTGCGCAAGGTGATGCAGATCCCCGAGAACGAGTCCGAGCTGGCTGACATCTTCACCCTCATCCACGAGCTCAACAGCTCCAGGCTCATCCTGTCCAACGTGAGTGAGGAGACTGTGACCATCGAGCAGACCTCCTGGTCCAACTACTACGAGTCTCCGTGCGTGCAGTGCCTCCTCTGTAACAGCCCCTTGTTCAAAGGGGGACACAAGTAAGATGCTGCTTTGCATTCTGACTCTTTCAAACTCGTGCTGATTTTCTTTGTTCTGAGTCTGCCTGAAATAATATTTGCTTTGGCCCCTAGTAGTGAAGCTGGTGAAAGTGACACTGAGTAAGCTAGATGTGTTTGAAAGGGTTTGGCAGGATCAAAGAGTGACTGCAAAGTCCAGATGTAACTTTTTTCTTATTGAAACAGTATTTTCATTAGTCATCCCCTCTTTGTTTTCCATTCTGGTGATTTGAGGCTAAGAGAGGAAAACTTGTGTGTTTACAGATGTGCATTGTGTGATTTCCTTTTTCTCTCTCTCCCTGGTCTGAGTATTTCCTCTGTGGGTCTTTTTGCTTATGATATTTTCATTCCTTTCATTTCTTAACATGTGCTTGAGTGAATGCTTTTTGGAACAAATACCCAAATTGAAACCTGAAGGACTTTAAGAAACTTTTAGTAAATAAGCTAGATTGCCTTAAGTAGATTTGAATGAAAGCCTGTAGGATATCTCTTTCCTTAGTCTGCCAGACATTCTCCTGTTGCTGAAAATATGATCTAAGATTTTTCCTACAGCAAAATGTCAGGGAATTTAATGTTGTTTTATTCTTCCACAAATAAATTATTGATATGAAGGATGGATATTTGCTTTGGTCAGGCTAGCACTAATTGAGATCTTTCCAGAAGAGTTACTTTTTATGTTCTGTATTTTTTTCAGAACAGAGCAGTCTCACACCCTGTCCCTCACCATGGGTCTTACCAGCCTGTGCATTGTAAATCCTTGTCTGTGCCTGGCTGCTTTGCAGTGCTCTGCATGTGGGACTCTCCCATGTGCCTGCACAGGCTCTAATTGAAGCCCTGCCAGTGGGAAGGAGGAGACTTTGGCTTTGATTCCTGTTTTCCCAGGTGGACAGCAGTATTTCAGCCACTGGCACTCTCCTATCTGAACTTCCCCCTTGTCATTTACGTTGCAGAGGAGCAGATCTCTGAGTCTGTGTGCAGGACAGGCTGGTGGGATGTGTTACTGATCACCACAGCTATGGTACAGCCACTTCTCCCAGGGCAGCTGGGGCCAAGGGTTTTCTCCACCTCTGCAATAGCAGGTGCCCAGTGTATGGAGCTGAAGGGATGCTCTAGTGCTGTTTAAAAGAATGTGAGCTATGACCTGCCTCTGCCTGGGAAATCTCTTTTAAAATGTAACTTCTTCTGGTGTGATACGATGTGGTGAGCTGGCTTAGATTTACATAATAATGAACTCATGTCAACTAGAATGTGTGAAGTTACTGCAGGGTTGGACTAAAAAACCCATTGGCTTCACTCAGAGTGGTTTTTTTGTTGTGTGTTGCAGTTCCCTTGCTGGTCCTCAGGAGTGCTGGCTGCTGACAGCCAATAGATTACAGGTGGTTACAGCTCAGGTCAAAGTGTGCTTGAACCTGCAGTGTCTGGCCCTCCATAGCTTCACTGACATTTACACAGGTAGGAGAAATGTGACCATACAGCATGACTGCAGTCTGAACCCTTTGGAAGCCTTGGGATTGTATCAGGGCATTGTCCAGGCACTAGAAAAGCTTGTTCCCTTCCCTAGTATACTGAATTTGAATTATTTTTTAATTGCTTCTGCTTATTCTGCAAGTAAATCTATATTTGTGAGTGAAAACACATGAATGCTCTGGTGAGGAAGGCCTTGCCTTGATTCCCTGGTGTAGGTGTCTGTGAATGTTGAGTTCAGCAAGGCAGCCCCTGAGATCATGGTCAGAGACATCTCTGGAGAGTGCTGTGTGGTGGCATTGGCTAGTGAGATGGACTGACAGCTGTTCCTTGTAGCTTTTTAACAACAGACAAGTTTGTGAAAGGAGCTGATGTTTCAGCAGGGATCTCTGCATTTCAGAGGTGCAGAAGCACTGTTTGTGTTTCCATTGTCCTCTAAACTGTACTCATGAGTGTGTTGTGTATCAGTAAGGAATAAATTTCTTTGTGAGGAAGATCTGGAACCCTACAGACAATAACTGTCTTGTTTTAACTGCAGGCCTTTTCAATGTGGGTAACAAATTGTTAGTGAGCTTGGATCTTCTGTTTGCAATCCGAAACCATATTAAACTTGGAGAGGATCCCAGAGTGGTTGTTGGCAACATCCTTGACTCTGTTCAGGAGCAAACTGGTGAGTTTTCCTTCTTGCTTTTTACCATAACATACCAAACTGTGACCTCATGATGATTGTTAGGTTATAAAAAGGCAAACCTCACCTATTTTAGTCTATGTTTCTGTTAAATAACTTCCTAAACCAAACAGTACCTCTATGACCAGTTCTTTGTAACAATTCCCTGGAGGGCAGGTTTGGTTTTATCCTGTGTAGGAGAGCCCTACTACCTCTGCAGTGGCTTCAGGATGTGAAAACTGTAACAGTGGCATGTTCTCTTTTCAGATAAAAGCCTGAGCCCTGATGAGCAGGCTCAGCTCCAGGAGCTGCTGTGCAATGGCTACTGGGCTTTTGAATGCCTGACAGTCCGGGATTACAATGATATGATCTGTGGAATCTGTGGCATAACCCCCAAGGTGGAAATAGCCCAGAGGAACACGGAAAATGTCCTAGCACTGAAAAATATAGAGGTAGGTTTTTCCCACAGCTCACATCCTGTTTGTGTTCAAAGCAGATCATAATGATTTTTTGCTGACTCTGGTCTTCATGATGCACAATAAGTACATGAGACCTTTGTGAGTGGTTTTCTGCTGATGCCTGACAAGAGGATGTGGCTGGAGCAGCAATGCCTGTGCTTCCTCTTAGAGGTGTTGATGTGTAGTTCAGGGAAAATGAGATCCTTTGTCCCTGGACCACAGCTTTTGTCCAGCAGCCTTGGGTAGGAGGAACCTTGGATGGAAGTTGTTGAATTTGGTCTTCTTCCCTTGACATGAACACATTCCTTTTTTCCTCAGGTTTCCCTGAGGTGCTATCTTCTCTAATGGGGAAAAAAGCCCTAGTAGGAGAACGTAGCATGGCTGGCTTTTATGTCAAACATGTACATTTTGAGTCTTACCTGAGGCCAAGTGATTGGGAAGCTTTAGGAGACTGAAATCATCTTGTTATATTTGAGCTAAACATTCTCCTGGATAGTCCTCATGCCATGAGTGAGACTGACACAGAACTGTCAAATGAACTGTGGGTTTTGTATTTGACCACTCTTTCTTTCTTCTCTGTAGTTTACTTGGCCAGAATACTTGCCATCAAGTGAAGTGAACGTGGAAGACTTTTGGTCCACGATGGAGACAGAGGTGATTGAGCAGGTGGCTTTTCCTTCTAACATCCCCATCACAAAGTTTGATGCCTCTATTGTTGCTCCTTTCTTCCCTCCACTGATGAGAGGAGCAGTGGTGATCAATACAGAGAAGGACAAGAACCTGCATGCACAGCCAGTGCCAGGTAATGGCTCAGGTTGTGCCCATTAAGGGAGTGCTTGATGTGTTGGTGACTTCAGCCTTGGCCATATTTAACATTAAGAATAGCTGATTGCATGACACTGAGAAAAGACAGGAACACTGAGGTGATTTCAGCTGTTCCCAGGCTGCTTTGTTACTTGAGGCTTGGCTTTTCCTGTGAAGTTTGGATGCAGTGGTGGGCTCTGATGCATTTGAAACATGGGGGACATGAGAGCATTGCACCCCAGGTGAGATAGAGTCTGATTGCAGAGGGATGCATGCACACCTTGAATGCCAGTCAGTGTTTGTGTCATGTTAGACTGATACTTGGAGTGTGGAAGTTGCTGGTAGTGCTTGGTATCTCAGTGTTACAATCTCAATAAAGGGTGAATAAGTTTTTATAGAACTTAAGAAAAAACTAGGAGAGTGGTGTGGTAGTCCTGATCAGAGTTGTCATATTGACTGCATGGAACAAGAAGCAGTGAGAGGAATAATCTCAGATCTGAGAGCTAAGATCAGTTAGCACCTGGTTCCCTTAAGAATTTAGATGTTGCGTATAGGAAGGAAGACTGGCTTTGCAGGCTTAGCAAGTGTGTGAGTTGGCTTTGCAGACAGGGCTGCAGCTGCTTCAGAGCTGGGCTGCAGAAGGGCTGTGTGGGCTTTTGTGGAAGTGGAGTTCCTGAGAAAGAGCCAGGGAGATGTGAAGGCTGAGCCTGGAGCTGTTCAGCCCAAGGGCTGCTGTGACATTGATCTCTGCTCTTCTTCACTTTAAATGACCCATCAGTCATTTAAAGGTTACAAATGACAGGATAGATGAGTGCTTATGGGTCTGCAGCTATGCTGGGCTTAGTCTGGTGACCTCAGCAGTGAAGGGCTCAAGACAAGTGCTCTGTGACGTGCTCTGCACGTAGGACTGTTCACAGCTCTCTCTTGCTGGCTGTGGGTTGTGCAATCTCTGCTTCTGTCATCTTCTTAAGAAATTATTTTGGTAAGTTCCCTTCCTGAGAATGAGTGCTGAGACTGCTGAGTGCTGTTTCCTGCCTTTGCAGGTAACGGGAGTGCCTTGGTGAGGCTCCTTCAGGAAGAAGTCTTCAGGCCTGAGCTGATAAACTCTTACAGTGAGGAAGAGCTGCAGAGCTTTCTGACACAGTGTGGCATCCCCTGGGAGGCATCACATACCAAGGTAATGGCTTGTTTGCCCACAGACAAGCCTGCAGGAGTGGAGCTGTTCTTCACTGTCTTTCCCTCATCCACTCTTGCCATCCTAGACAATTAATTTCTCATCTGACTGCACCAAGGGCAGGGATGGGTGCCAGCAGGTTATAGGATAATTTACACATGGTGAAATAAATTGAACCTTTGTGGGCTAGAAGAAAGGAAGCCTGTAATTACCTTGTCACTGGCTCAGCATTGTGTAATTGGTTGTCATCCTCACAGTGCTGAGTGTGGGATTAGGAAGTTATTGGATGAAGTGCAAATTAGGATTTGGGAGACCTTGCATGCTGCCTTTTCCCTCTCTGCAGGAGTGTGTTAATTTTAGTCATTTTCTCTGGGGCCTGTCTTTTCTAGGATGAGCTCTGCTACTCCCTCCTGGCTCTCTATGAGTTTGTACAGAATGGGACAAGCATTACACCATCTTCTGCTCATCACACAGGAGGGAAAATCTACAAAGTGTGTCCACATCAGGTAGGGAAGACTGGAGCCACAGTGGATTTTTTCTTCCTTGGCTATTCATTATTTGACTTAACAGCATGGAACTTCCTTATTGAATAGAAGCAATGGAATGGGCTTCTCTGAGCCTTGGGAATGAAACCTGTTCCTCAGGGCTTGGAAAATTCCCCATGACAAGGTGAATGTGTGTGAGGAGGAAACAGAGTATCTTTAGAGAAAGTAGTTGTCTGGTTAGTGAAAGGAAGCTGGATTTTTTTAAGACTAGATTGTTTTTCTGTAAGTTTTTAATTTTATTGTGCTGCTGATGTCAATCCTTTCTTTGTTCTAGGTTGTGTGTGGCTCCAAGTACATAGTAAGAGGAGAAAATGCTCGGGATCACGTGGACTTGTTGGTATCCTCACGTCACTGGCCTCCAGTGTATGTTGTTGATTCAGCCTCTTCAGTGGCACTGTGTGCAGACCTCTGCTGTCCTGGCCTGACTTCTCAGATGTGGGGGAAGAACCAGGGCTGCTTCTCTGACCCCATGGAACCTCCAACGGTTAGTTATGTCTCTGCTGTGCCGGTCCAGCATGGAAAAGCTGCTGGGAGAGCAAGGGAGATTAAAGTTAACACCCTTTCCCCATATGTAATCTGCATTGTGGCCAGAGATAATTTTGTAGAATCACACAATGGTTTGAGTTGGAAGGGCCCTTAAAGCTCATCCAGTTCACCCTCCTGCCACAGGCAGGGTCACCTTCCACTAGGCCAGGTTGCTCATAGCCCCATCCAGCCTGGTTTTGAGCACTGCCAGGAATGAATTTGACCTGATAAGTATCTCCTGATTTGAGCTTTGCCAGTGCATCAGTCCTAAGTATAGCAGAATGTACTAGGTGTTGCCTGGAGATTGTGTTTGATTAATTGTCCTTAAAAGGAAGAGCTGTGCTGAGAGTGCACTGTAACAGCACAAATCATGAACTTTGGAGCACATCACTTATTTTGACACAGCAACTCACTTCTTTCAGACTTTCTTTCAGAGAGAAAGATGGCTCCTAGGGTGCTCCTAGTGCCTTGGGATTATCTGAGGGCACACAAGTGAGGAGGAAGTGTGGCATGCAGGGGAAGCCTGGATCATTTAGCCCTCCATCTGTCCTGGGTCATAGTGTTGCTTGGAGTTTGGCCAGCCTGTAATTTTATCTCCTCAGCCGTGGGGAAGTTGTTGTTCCACCTGCTGTGTGTCTCCCCCAGTACGTGTCCTGCCCCGAGCTGCTGGACCAGCACTACAGCGTGGACGTG